AAAAAAAAAAAAAAAAAAAAAAAGGTGAAGCCTTGGAGCCACTGGCTCGTAGCTGCCAGAACTTATCCCAGTTTCTGTAGCATGAAGCAGCTAGGAGTGTTTCTTCTCCCCCTGGACAGGATGCTAGTCCATCGCAGGTCACTCCCCTGCAATTTGTTAGGTTTCCCCGACAATTTGCCAGTACCCACTTATACTCCTGGGTGGAGAGGGGCACTGTGAGAGTTAAGTGTCTCGCCCAAGAACACAACACAGTGTCCCCAGCCAGGGCTCGAACCTGGACCGCTCGATCCGGGGACGAGCGCACTAAACATGAGGCCATGGCGCCTCCACTATATACCCAAGGTGAGACCAAATGACACCAAATGTGCCTGATATGGTGTCAAAGCATGCCAAAAAAGGTATGATTAGGTATTTTCTGTACCCATTTTTAGTCTATCAACTCTATTGGTTTCATAAACATAAGTTGAATATATACATAATTATGTAGTAAATCAATAGTAGAAATGAAAAGACCAAAAGGGATTGCATGAACGAGAAAAGTATCCCATGCGAGGCGCAACCCAAAATCTAATTAAAAAATCTCAGCCTGATAAGAAATCTAACTGATCATGATGTCATAGATGTATCAGGTCAGTGACTTGATATCGCAGGATATCAGGAGAGTGGGCACAGCTTCTGATTGGCTAAATACGAATTTGGGTATGGTGATGTGAAAACAATGTACATATAAGGGCTAGGGTTAGGGTTAAACAGTTGCAGCAATTTTTGATTGTAGAACTTTTGAATTTGCAAATATATGTTGATTTATTGTCACGTCTTTTGGTTACAACAGCAATTACTTCATCAAGCTCATCATTGGCGGGAAGGAAATTTATCACCCAGTGCCAAGTGTGCGCACTGTAAGCATACATGTGGAAGCATTGAGTGTCTAACAAGTGTCAAATGCAGCTGGTGTGGACTCTCAGTGAGTGTCTTGTTTGTTTTAACCTGACAAAAACACTGATTGACAGTTTATTTACATTACTTGTTTATGACCGTTAATTCTTCAATACCAATCAATCAGGGACACAGCACCCATGAATTATCCACTCTAATTTCCTGCACCTTGCTAATTAAGCGAAGTCTAAATTCCAACCCTAGTAGTCTACAGACTGTTGCCTGTCTGTGACAAGATTGCATAGAGTGACTTCAACTGGTGGAGTAATTTCATTCCCCCCCCCCCTCCCCCCTAGGCTTACCCATTTAGCATTTACATTTAATTTGCTGGTACCTGCTTAAGACATAAGTGGAGAGAGGTACTGTGAGAGAACACAAGACAGTGACAGGTCTCAGAAGGGCTCAAACCTGCAGTGGACTCTGATATGGTTCCTTCGTTGTAGTAAGTCATTGTGCCTTGCATTCCTTGCTGCTTTCCACTCCTTCCTGAACTGTGATATGATGAGCCATTATGCATTCTGAAGACGGAGTAACTTTTCGTTGTGTTTTGAATCTTGTTTCCTTTACATGCATAACTATCAACTTTTCACAAGAAGATATTAATGGGGGAAAAAATTCACTATTAGAAGTAAGTGGTTTTAATTGGTCTACAGTGAGGTGGTTATGGTAGCTCATGTAAAGTACTTTTTATTTGTTATTTAATAATAAGTTATTAAGAGCATTGTATTGTTGTAATCTCCAACAGGCTCACAGTTCATGCCACTATATGTTACCTAAGGAATGTGGATTTGGTTATCTTCAGAAGCTTGTGTTACCACCATATGCTGTGTCAATGCCAAACACCACTTTATGGAGTTCGTGTTCACAAAACAGATGTAGATCTGCAACTTTAAATGGTGAGCTTGGTGTTATTTATAGGTCATCATCAACTTCTTGTTTTCTCCTTGTGGAGAACGGGCTCAATTTCCAGCTGTTTTGTGAACCCGCGTTAACAACCGAACTCCTGAAACGGCTGGAAATCAAGCCTATGTGGAGACTTGGGCCATCAATCCATTTCGTCCAAGCAACTTGGTCTTTTGCCACCACCTCTGCTTCCCTCCATGTCTTGGATCTGAGATTTTCTCTCTCCTTTATGATCATTCTTCTCCATGTCTCTCTTGGCAGGTCCTCTTCAGGGTCTGCCTTTGGTTTCCCATGTCATTAATAGTTACTATGTAGTAAATAGCTTATAGGAATTGTTTGGAGAGCCCCCATCTTGTACTGCATCATTATTCAAGCCTGACTTCACAATCTTGTACGAGAATTAAACAAGGTTCTTTAAAGCTCAGTATCGTTTAGGGAAGAGGAGGCAAAGAACAACTTTAATCCTTCTGAATGCTGAATATTTGCATTGCTCAATGTGTTGTTACAGAAAATATCCATACCCCTCCCATGGAGGGTTTTTGTTTAAACCTCCCCCAATCTCTTTGGAAATTCCAGTTTTGGTTCATACTTTTCTTGAGACATTTTGGCTTTTGAGCCCTCCCCTCCCCCCTCTTGGAATTTCCAATAACTCTCCAGAGGGTGGGTATACTTCTAATAGGTATTTTCTGGAATCTCACAATGTCTTAAGCTTACTTAAGTTATGAACAGACTCTTTGGCCACATGCCAGTCTGACCGCCCACCTGCTTGAAAGCCAGCTAGGGTAATACACAGGAACTTTCAGCTGGCAGGGATGTCAGACTTGTTTTCTCACAAGAGAATTGGGAATTATTGTGAGACAACAGATGTCTGTGTTCTTAGAAAGCTACAGGCTTGCCTGTCATTAACAATGTGAATTAAATGTTGACGATTTTACAGAAGTGGCAGATGACGATGATGGAATTGTCTCAGATGACAAGATAAGTTCATCTTCTGATACGGGTATTTCCTGATTATTATTTCACTGTGAGATTTATGACTTTTTATAAATTTCTTTCTATAATGTGACACTGGTGACAACATATTATATTTTTTTCAGATGAGACATATTTAAAAATTTATGATGGTGAAGTATCAGATCCAAAACTTTGTAAAAATGTTGCAATTCCAAGGACAGCTCAAGTCAGTAATGTTCTGGTGAGTTTTGTGATCCTTGAACCATAATCAACCATCTTCTTGAGGCATGGTGGCTGTAGTGGTTAATCTGTGAAAACGTTAACTTGCAAATTCTCTCAAAGTTATCTTTCATCTGTAAATATGAGTGAAACTGTTTTTGTTTTTCATTTTTAATTAATAATAACTAAAAATAGTTTTATTTGATAGGAGGAAGCTCTGAAGAAATTTCACATAACAGATGATCCCAGTAATTATTACCTTGCAAGAGCTGTAGATGAAGGTCTGTATGTTTCAAGACAGACATGTACATGAACTGTTGCTTTGTTGATCACATATAGATCGTTTTCACGTGACGTCATCACTTTCTAAAATCCAAAATGAAAGAGCCACCAAAGTTTTTATCCTCGTCAGGCATAAGAGGCGGTATATTTATATCTGTTTACGATTTTACAGCTCAATAATGTGCTTCGTTTGGAATCCAGAGCATTTTGAATTTCAGGGTTATGGAGGTGCGTGACACAAGGCTACAATTGAGTTCGTCAAAAAATATATACTTATCTCATGATTTTGAGCCTTTTTAGAAGTTAGAACAATAGGAAAAGTGCTTATGTAAATGCTTGTTTGATCAGTACTGATAATCAGTCGCCTAGCTGGCCAAAGGAAGTTCCAGATGTTTACACTATTTTCCGGCGCCATATTGGTGTACCACAGAGGTACACCAACATGGCATTTTCATACTGGGCTCTGTAAATATCTGCGAAACATTTCGACGAATATATGAAGTTTGGGGAAACGCACAGGCCTAAAACTTGGAGAAGTGTCTAATTTAGTTATCTTCTATAACATCATAATTTCATAGCTTTTTCCAAAGGATGGTTTTCGATTTATTTTTTTATTGCGTGACAGTGAAAACAATCTATAACTTGTATATAGTCCTCGTTGACCAGTGTTTAAATTCTCTGTAATAATGATGTATTGAATACAAAGTCAATTGTGGAGGAACTATGAACACAGAATGTGATCATCGTTATCCTTTATCGCCCCCGTGGGTGCAGAGGGTGTCTACCAGTACCCTCAAATGGACACGGGTCTTTGCTAATACCTTGGCTCTCTCCCAGGAGTAGCCCACTTTTTCCAACTCCTGCGGCATGGACCACTTGAAGTTGTCCTTGGCCGTCCAACTTCCTTCTTTTGCTGTGGCTGATAGTTCAAGGCTTGCCTCGCAAAATTGTTGCTGTCTCTCCTGAGCATAAGGCCAATCCAATGCCACTTAGATTGTGATCAATACATCACTATGTGAAAACTCTATCTATCTGATCTGCTGTAAAATTCTCCCAAATAGTGAAACAAGAAGTAGGTAGAGACTTTAGATTTAAAATGTTGGTGAACATTATTTACGCTTGTTTATCTTTTACAGAAAATGAACGAGCACTTGATCCTGAAGAAAAGCCTCACCAATTTACAGAACACAATTCATCAAAACCCTTGATCTTTCTCCGCATGAAAGTAAGTTTGCCTGTAATATAACTACACGCGTTTCAATATAATTGTGTTTCACTCCCTTTTTTCATTTTTTGGGAGGTGCGGTGGCCTCATGGCTAGTGCATTCACCTCTGGATCTGGCAGGCCAGGTTTGAGCCCTGGCTGAGGACATGGCGTTGTGTTCTTGTTCAAGACACTTTACTGTCACAGTGCCTCTTTCCACCCAGGTGTATAAATGGGTACCAGCGAATCTAATGCTGTGGTAACCCTGCAATGGACTAACATCCCATCCAGTGGGTAGTAGAAATACTCCTGTAGAAACCATGATAAGCTCCAACCTGATGGGCCACTTGGCTCATATGCAGACTTTGCCTTACCTTACATTCAGTTTTATCTTTGAAAGTATTTTAAACCCGTTATAACGTATTACATTATTTCAGTCTCACCATTTCCCTTTTCCAGAGTGCTGATAGACGAAAAGGATACATCAGAGTGTACCCTGGAATGATAAAGTGAGTATTTACCAGTCAATCAATATTATTAATCCTTCTCTGAATTTTTTTTTCTGTGAGCTTACATAAACTCACTTCATGTTGTTTTATAACAGTGTGTCTGCAACATTCAAGACGATTCCAGTGACAGCAGTTACAACTGTTACAGATGTCATTCAAATTGCTTTAGAAAAATTTGGACTTCAGGTCTGTATCTTAATATTGATATTAGGTTCCATTTTATATGCTTGGTAACCACAGGGTGCAAACTAAGAATACAAATTAACTTTTCTAGCTGACCTTTCGGGCACACTCTAACCATGATGTACCAGTCTGAAATTCTTCTTGCTAGTCCCCCAAAAGTTCATCTCTTACAGTACTTCAATCAGTAATTTGAATTTCCTCAAAAATTTTCCTAACTAAAGATACTTCACATTTCCCATCCAGCAAATAAACTAGCCCGACTGGGAAATCCACCTGCCATTAGTGCTACCGGACAGAACTTTCTTTTCACACTGATCTACAGTTACGCTTCTTGACTTCTTTATCTCATTTTCAGTTCTTATAAGGCTACCCTTCCTTCAGGCCTCTATCCCTGTTTTGTTCTCTTCTTCTCTCCCTCTTCCTTTCTCCCTCCCTTAATGGATCCTTCCTTGTTTTCTGTCCATCCCATATATGTCTCTCTGACTCTCTGTTCCTCCATAGATCTGTCCCTGTGTCCATCTGTGGGTCTATTTGTGTGTCTGTCCTATATTTCTCCCCCTTCCATCCTACACCCTCTCTTGACTCAACCACCTCCTCAAGGTAGAGAATTTATACCTAACAAGTTACAAATTGATTTGGCACTGAAAATGCTCTTATTTTGATGGTTGATTTTCTTCGAGAACAGGGTGCAAATCCAGATAACTACTCTTTGACTGAAGTCCACTTAAATCAGGGAGGTAAGGCGTATTAACTACTGCAATCAAGCCTTGTTTTAGCATCACTTTGCTATGGAAAGCTAAGTCTTGACCAATGTGCTTCTCAATAACAATAAATTGATGAACAGGGGAGATCAAGGATACATGGTTCACAGTATAGATCCCATTTTGTTGCATGTCCAAGTCAGTAATTTCAGGATGTTCAAAATACTTCAAACCCTATTTTCTCAGTTTCAGTGATAACTGAAGTTATTAGTAAGCTTGTGCTGGGAGTTAGATCATCTTCTGTTGAAAGCTACAGCTTGGGTTTTAGTACAGTGCTAATGAAATTGGTTCACAAATCAGTTTTAACTGTGCAAATTGTGATAAAGTGCAATTGAAGCTAAAACAATTTGATAATCCATTGCTTGTCTTTACAGTTACTATGAGTAAAACTTGCAATAAGCCTACAAAAGATAGACATGTTGGTAAGACACAATAACGTTACACCAGCTCAAACTAAACTTCAGTTTTTCATAACATTTATACATAAACAATAAATTTATAATAAAGTGGTGCAAAGCTGAGTTCTGAAAAAGATTTTGTGGTACAAAAAGGCTTGTAACTTGAAATTCTCATGCATTAAAGACTAAATAGGTTTCAGGACAGAAATTTAAAAAAAAATGATCTTAAAAGTTATGGTTATTTGAAGTCGATACAACATGGCAGTCTATAAACTATAGAAAAGATCACTACCTTTTTTCAGCTCAAATACTACTTTTTTGAGGCTGAACACCCTAAGAGGAACTAAAACTTTGTTTTTAACCCCTAAAAGGTACAGCAAGCACCCCTTCTTTTTATATGGAAGTCTTCCCCAACACGGTTGGAACTGCTAATTTATTATTGAGAGATGGTTGTCACAATACATGTACAAATAACAATATGGGATACTTCTTTACATCTTTAACTTCAAAGAAGAGAAGGGTGTACATGATAGAAAGGCATCCTGGGAAGCACTAACAATTAAATTAATCAATGAAAAAATCTGAAGAATGTCAATGAATTAATTCTAATAATATAAATTAATTGTGTAGTGCGCGTAGGAGAAATGGCCAACACAAGTCAGTAAGAACAAGGACTTCCTTGACTTGTGAAATTCAATGTTTAAATACATAACAATACCAAAGAACTAATTACAAGTTAAATGAAATAATACTTGATAATTAAATAAATATGGTAAATTTTAAACACTGTAGAGTGAAATGGGAAAGATTAGAAGAAATTCATGAACTTTCCTTCGTGTTTAAAACAGAAATTAGTAAGATCAGAAACTTTAAATGATTAATTAATGATAGTAAATAAATTGGAAGTAGCGATCTTGAACACAAATTATGTACCTTATAAATCTAAACTGACAGTAAAGTACTGGACGGTGTTTCAGGTTGTTGAAGCTATGATCTCACAATTACTCTAACTCTCTTCTTCAGTTCAAGAACGGAGAATGGAAAACAGTGATTGTCCATGGAAAACTTTAATGGATGTCAGAAAAGTATGATGTATATAGTTAGAGTGTTGTGATCTCTGCCATTGTTAATGATACATCTTTAAGTGGGAAATGTTAATTAAAATATGTTTCTTGTCATTTTTTGTTCTTTTTTTTTTTTTGACGACTATGGTTTAAAATTTTAATGGCTTACTTGGATTTACTGTGAGCTCACAGTGTCGTACATCCTTCAATTTTCTTCTCATGACAAAGTGAGACAGTGTGCAACTACAACCAGTTTACAGAAATTATGTGGGTTTTGAAGAGGAACATTTACAAATTTAGCTTTGATTGCTTTGAAATTCAACACAGTTTTCTGAAATTTTCTTTTTGCAGAAGTCTATAAGGAAAATGAAACTCACAAGATTCTACTTAAGGCAAAATTTGGAGCCCCTGGGAAGTGTGTGCATATGTGTGGGGAGTTTCCCAGCAGGCCTGGATTCAAGCAAATATGAAACACTAATTAGCGATATTTTAGGAGAAAGTAAGTACTCTGACCGAAGATTAGGAGGAAGTAGCTGTTTCGTAGTTACAAATTTGACTTGAGCTGTTAGTTCTATGTTTGGAGAGAGGAGGCAAATTAAATTAACCCTTAATCTGTATCAGGGTATTTCTTGTAGTTAAATGCCTTTGGTTATACTAAATATGTTCCCTTAACATGTACCTGTCTTAGACCTTTAGCTCTTGAGAATGATCTGTGTGGTAATGAGAAAAAGGAAATTAAATCTATTGCAAAACACTAGTAAGTAAACCCAGAGTTCTCATTAATGCACAGGTGTGCATCTCATACAGCAAAAAAATGAAACGGACACACAGTTTTTTGTCAAAAGTGCGTCCTTGCAGGACATAGGAAAAAACGTTCTGACTAGTTCACGAAACTGGGTCTAATTTATTCGTAATTCTATTTTTCATTTGACAGCTATGCAATTTTGTGAAGTGAAAAGTGTTTATCCAAGTTATGGTAAGTGTCAGTAATGTATTGACTTGAACTGGCATTCTCAAAAGATACTGTATTTGTCAATTTTCAACTTTCTCCCATCCCTATATGCTGGCAGTGACATTATTGTGTCATGAGAGCACTCTCTCTAAGGCCTTGTTCTAATGTGCAAACCATTGTCGACTGTTTGTCAACTTGTCTAAAGGAGCTTTGTCACAGTTTGTGCATCTTGAAAAGTTTAATGGCCTAAATTTTTCAGTTTGTCAGTTTTCACCATCATTAACCATCCTTGTTTCTCTATGATATATTTTGATCTCTTTTATGTTTTTCTATCTTAGTAAACTATTATTTTCAGGTGTCCTTCAATTTTAAGTTAATTTTGCACATGGCCAAAAGAGGTCTCAAAATACCATGACTGAGCTCCTTTCTACAGTTGCTTCAAGTGAATTTAAGGCTAAACTGCATCATTACACCTTTGAATGAGACACTGCATCCTTGAAAAGCAGCTTTATTAATAATATGATAAGTTTTTATTCTTTTAATACTGTACTAAGTATTAGTTAGTTTAGTTAGGCAGACTTAGATATTATACTAATAATAAATTATGCTGAAGGAATTTTTACCATTGTATGAATAAAGTTATCAAGTTGAACTCAACTCAACCTTTAAATGACTTGACTTCTATCTAAGTTAGCCGACACCAATTAAGCAACCATGAGTTGGTTATTTTTTTGTGATACGTCACTCTGTATTTAATAATATACCTATTAAATTGATTCTCTTTAGGAATGGTATTTGTATTTCTCCCATCTGCTGATGTAGCTGCTGATGCTGTGGGTAAATTTATAAGTTCAACTGTGGACAGCAGGCATCTGTTTGTAAGAGTCCTGCCTAACATACATGTAAGTAACATCAAGTACAGCTTAAAATGTTACCATAGTTAATGAGAATCCCCTTTAATTAAGCATCCCAGGCACAAAAATATGGAGCAGTGTTTCAAAGAAAATGGAAGTGCCTCTTTTAAAAAATAGAGACCAAGTCTCTATTTCCTTAAATTTTGAAGAAGGGACATACAAATTGATTATTAAAACTACCAGTGCCAAGTCTTCCCTTAGCACTTGGTCATTCATTTTTGCTATCTGTATTTTTATAATGTCACATAAGACGAGTCTTATGCAAATGGTAATTAGAGAAATAAAAACTTGGAACATATTTCAGAGGAGTTAAAATTTGGGCTCTTAATTCCCTAGGCTTATGCTTACAGTAAGAGACACATGTTGAATCTGTCCTGTCTCTCCCTCCCTCTCCACAGCCTGAACTTTTCCCCCCTAACAGTCAACCACTTCTTGTGCTTGTGAACTCTAAAAGTGGAGGTGGTCAGGGGGCCGACATGCTAGCGGCCTTCCAGAGATTGCTCAACCCTCATCAAGTGTATAGTCTGACAGAAGGAGGTCCACTACCAGGGTATGTTCCATTCACAAAAGCAATCATGCCTGCACAATTTTTTTTAATAATTTACTATTAGTTTAAGGGCTGCATCAACAACTTTGCCACATGCCACATTGAATAGGACCCTTTCCTTTTAGTTTTGTTCTGTCAGAACTCTATAATAATTGAGTATGTAACAACAAACATTTTGTCTCTTTCTGTTTAGGTTCTATGCTTTCAGGTTGATTCCTGATTTTCGTGTATTAATCTGTGGTGGTGATGGAACAGTTGGTTGGGTGTTGTCATGTTTGGATGACGTCCTTCAGGAATTGAAGTGTAAGATGCCATCATCTGCTATTCTTCCTCTGGGCACAGGTGAATTTTTGCAATGATGATTAGACCTTTATAGACTAAAGTACCGGTACTGCCAAATGTAACAATTTATAGATCAATGTACTGCCAATTTTGTTAGGAGTGAAATAAAGGTTATTTTATGCATGAATCGGTTAATGAAAATTGATATTTCGAGTATGGAACTAAAAAACTTCTAAACTGCCAATTTACAGGTAATGATCTCTCACGTGTTCTCCAGTGGGGAGGAGGTTATTCTGGTGGGGAGAGTCCTGTTTCCCTCCTTATGGCTATCGACCAGGCACAGGAAGGTTTCCTGGACAGATGGTGTGTGATGTTTGATTCACCGGACATGACGGTCCCTGACACACTGTCAAATGATAGTGGTATCAGTTCTACTAGTGGAAGGGAAGATGATCCGAGTATTTTCACCATGAATAATTATTTTGGTATTGGAATTGGTGCTGAGCTGTGTTTGGATTTTCATCTTCAGAGGGAAGAAGCTCCAGATAAGTTTCACAGTAGGTGAGTTGTGAAGTTTTACAGTTTTGGAACAATCAAGGTTCTGGTGATGTGTGTTTTTTCTGATTTCATGTAGCCCAGGAGACTG